ATTGTTAGGAGAGAGGCAGGAATTTAGTCTCACAGCATCTTTATTCCATTTGTGTGGTCCACAAGATTTATGTTCCCTAAAGTTGCCTTTACTTGCAGGATAATAGCTAAGGAAAAATAATTGCTCTAACTACATTTTTCCTTCTGGTACTTCATTCATTACTATACTCTCAGTCTTCACGGGATTAGCTAACTTCTCACATATAAATCTTGCTTTATCAGTGCATTGGCCATAATAAACATATGTTGCACTTATAAATCCACAATATATTTTATCACGTAGGTCATTTATATTTCCTGTAAACCTGAAAGAGAAAATAAAGAATTACACTTGGCAAGTCAAACATTTGAAACATATTCACACACAAAAATTACTTTTCCAACATATCGTTGTTCTGAGGGTCTGCATGGTCTAAAATAAATTTTAATCATTGTTGAGAATATCCAGTGTCCAGGTTACTAATTTTTATTGACAGATACACAACGTCAGACTCTGCCTTATTTTTCTCTGCCTCATCTGTAATATTCTCTTTTTCTCATCTGTAATATTTGCAAATATTCCTTAATACCCTCCCTTCCTTAACACCTAATGTAATTTAGAATAGTGTAATTCCATTAGATTCTCCAATCTAACTGGCTCAGTAGTGAAGCTTTGACACTGTCCTCCTCAAATGTTTTTCATGATCACCAAAACCAGGAATTAACTTAATGTATGATACCTCAAGCTCAACAATCATCTTTAAGTGACATATCTCTCTAGCCATTTTTCAGAGATTTTACTCTGAAGTTCTGAATAATTACCTGTCCCTAATACAAGATGGGATTATACATTAAAACAAACTTGTAATTTAAAAATATTATCTTTGGAAAAAATGTAGTATCAACACTTAGGTCAATTAATAATGAACATCAATCAATAAATAAGTTAATTCCATTTTCAAAACTGAAAATTCCTATTTGCGGTGACATAATACAGATGTCATTGATTATAGCCCCTTAACAGAAACAAGCCCAAAAACAACACTGAGAACAAAAAACAAAAGGGAATCATATATATATATATGATTATAAATTAAATGCACATATAATATGCATATATAATTTTTATTTCAGTATTATCTCTTGATAATTTAAAATAGCTACTGTGTTTCCATCCCACTATAGATTATCTTCCCATTAGCAATAATTACAAATAAACACATGGAAATTCTACTTTTTCAAAACAAGATTCCATCTGTACTCTCCCCTGATACACCCGCTACCTTTATCTCCAGTCCTTTACTCCAAATGAGATCTTTATATATCCTTTTCTCCTCTGATTGTACATATCTTATCCCTCATTCTGTCCTATCATTGCAAACCACAAACAGAGCTGCCTTGTCTCTCTGACCCATATTCCTACACCTACTATTACTATCTGAAGGAAAAAGCAACCAGAACAAAGCAAAACAAAACCAATCAAAGCTTCTATTTGCTGTCTGGCCCCATGTGGTGAGAATGCAGGAATTTCAGGGTTNTTTCAACAATTTGTATTTTTTGTTGTTTATTGATATAAAAATTTAGAAAATGCTCATCATAAAAATAGACAGATGAAAATATAAAAATTTTCATTATAGCAATGCTACTCAATTATTTTAACTCCTTATGAATTGCAAGCCAAAAGTTCATAATTATCTAATAGTAAATATTACTTTTATTTATTTAATAAGCTAACTAAATCCTCTCCCAATTTTGGTGGAAATATTAGAAATAACTAAAATTGCAAAAATAACTTGTGGCCCATGGAAACAGTGGCCTTAAATGACACATTAGTCCAGCTGGACTTAAATGATATTTTAGGACATTTCATTCAAAAGCAGCAGAATATACATTTTTCTCACATGCACATTTCCCAGCCTAGACTACATGTCAGGCCACAAAACAAGTATCAATAAATTTAAGAAGATTGAAATCATATCAAGCATCTTTTCCAATCACAATGGAATGACACTAGAAACAACTACAAGAGGAAAATTTAAAAACACACAAACATGGAGTGTAAAATAACATACTACTGAATAATAAATGAGTTACCAGCGAGACCAAGAAAGAAATAAAAAAATACTTGAGACACATGAAAATAAAAACACATGACCAAAAAAAAATCTATGGTACACAGCCAAAGTAGTTCTAAGTGGGAAATTTATAGCAATATAGGCCTACCTCAAGAAATAAGAAAAATCTTAAATAAACAATCTAAACTTATATCTAAAGGAAGTAGAAAAAGAACCCAGCCCAAAGTGAGTAGAAGGAAGGAAATAAAAGAACATAGCAGAAATAAATGCAATAATCTAATAAACTATAGAAAAGATCAATGAAACCAAGAATTGTTCTTTGAAAAGATAAACAAAATCAATAAACCATAAACCTTTAGCCAAACTCATCAAGGAGAAAATAGAGAGGGCCCAGATAAATAAAATCAGAAATGAAAGAGTATAAGTGACCACCAACACCACAGAAATACAAAAAATTTTAAGGAAATATGGCACAATTTCTCAGCGTTCCCCACGCATTGTCACTTATCTCATTTCAGAATCGCCCACAAGTGTCAAGAGATTTCACTTATAAAGAAAGTGTTGTCACATCCTGCGTGGCAGGGCAAATGGGACTCCAGATGGGCGACGCAGATTGAATAAGAACAAGAGACAAAAGTCAGATAAGAGTGAGACCACGGGACACAACCTAGAGGACTGAGCCCGGAATCGGGTGTTCCTATGGCTTTTATTGAGAAAAAATCAAAGGAAGAGAAACTGGATTACTCCAAGATCCGTGTGCTATGTGCCTTAAGGCTGTTTTCCATTAACCAGCTCCCATTGTAATCCAACTATGCCTTCATACAGCCTGCACAGCCCCCAGGACAGCGCCATTCTGCCGTGTCCTGTACAAATAAAGGGAGATGATCAATATCATTCCACCGGGTCTCAGCATTCGGAGACACTCCCTAGAGGAAGCTTGACAGATATCATTCCACCGGTCTCAGCATTCCAAGACACTCCCTCAAGATCTCATTAGGTCAGGGATTAGTGCTGGGGGCAGGGGCAGTCGTGGAGGTAGCTGTAAGGCAACAAAGTGTCACTTTGCCATTTGGGCACAGGAAAAAATTATTCCTTGATTATTTTCTATGTAACTATATGTATTTCATTTTGGAAAAAAAGGCAAACTGTCCTCACAAAAACACAGTATCCCAAAACTTGGATGACTCATTTCTAAGTGAAAATACATTCATTCACAACATGGGGATACAATAAAATCACTTGATGCATTCTTCCACAAGAATGCAGTAGTTTCTGCAGGACTGCAGCCTTGTACCTGTTGATAGACCTGGGTCTACGTGGGTTGACAGGGTAAGAAGTCAGCAAGATGAACTGGATGTGGAGAAGGAGATAGATGATGATCTGAGGCCTGCCAGGCACTTCAGCATCCACCTGTCATTTAGTTCGACTATAGCAACCTTGTGAAAGTAACGATCTCTGCTTCAATTTTGCCTTCCAGTTATGTCATGAGTTCCCCTTATTGCCCAATTCTGATTAGGACCTAAAGAGGGAAAGGAATTCTAGGAAATCTGTTTCCCAGACTTAGGAATTTTGATGCTAATTTGACCACAGAAAATCCAGCACATTCCACATTTCTGTCAACCTTCGGTACTGCCAGACTTTAAGTTTAGCCATTCTGGTGGGTATAATAGTACCTCACTATATTTTTATTTTGAATTCTTTTCTGGTGAATAATGATGTTGAGCAACGTTTATGTTTTTAGGCCATTTGAATATCCTTTTTCATGAAGTGCTTTTTTCAATCTTTCTGCCCATTTTTTTAATTAGAGGGTTTTTTAAATTATTGATTTGTAGAAGTTAATTATGTCTTACATAAATATAGATATGTGTGTATTATATTAATACAAACCCAACACGTACCTTTTTCAAGGCTATGACTTGCATTTTCACTCTGTTAGTGACATTCTTATTTATAACAGTCTAATATTTCTAATTTTTTATTATTGGTATTTATTTAGTCTTGTTTATGAAATCTTTGTCTACTATAAAACCATGAAAATATTCTCTTGTGTTTTATAGAATCTTTATATTTTGAACTTTCATATTAGGTTTTATGATTCATTTTGAATTAATGTTTATGTATAGTATAAGGTAGATATAAAGTTTAATTTTTTTCATGAGAAATCCAAAACATTCAGCTCCATTTATTGGAGTGTTTGATATTCAACACTGTCATTTTCCCAAATATTCTCAGCCTAGACCCACTTCTTCATGGAGGCGGAGTGAGTCCAGGATGAAGGTGTGTCTCTTTTCTTTGGGTGAACTTGTAAGAGGAAGGTGTGTGAAACTGAATTGCAGCTCCTGGCGCTGTAGCTGAGCTCAGGATCACAAGCAATCCTCATTACCTTCCTTCTCTACTATTCATTCTCCATCGCCCCCCACCCTCCATTAGTACCTCTGCTCATCTTAGTCACCTACCTGGGGTTTGAGCCCATTCGTCACACCATTCTCAAGCAGTGACTGCTGAATTTGTCTATTTACCATCTAAATGGGCAACGGGTTATAAAGATGTACTCAGGAGTGACAATTGGATGCCAAACATATTTCTTCATCCCTACTGTTTAACAGCAGCCCTGCCTTCTCCGGTTGATCAGTCGTTTGCTCATTCCAAGACAGTGACGCATCCAACGAGATGTTGTGACACCTGGTGGCAGTATTTGTTCTTCAGAGACCAGGTTCTCTAAAGCCACAGAACTCAGTTACTGGGAGAGAAGGCGCTCATTCCCACGTTGGTCGACAGAGATGATGGTGAGCAGGGTGGGGTCAGCCCTGCTTCTGCACTTTGTTTACACGCCCACGTACTCTCCGTACTGAGGACACAGCGCCATATAAAGGCTATTGATTTAAAGCATACACTACCTCTTAGAAGATGACATCACATTATCAGAAGTATTAACTCTGAGCTGGCTCTCCTGCTGTGCTTTCAACGAGCCCTTAGTCCTCCTTTCCATTGCTCCATCTGACCTTCAGTTTTATGCTGTTTCAGTTTGTGACATGACCAGTGGATTCCATGGTCAATTGTTCACTCCCTTAGCTTTATGCTAGAAAGTGTGTCTCTTGGTCAGACATGATGTTTTGTAAGGTTTCATTCCAGTTGATCAAATACTCTCTAAGCTCATGGATATCAGTTCTGGCTGAGGTCCTGTGGCAGGACAAGCAATTCCATTTTTTCTCTTTT